CGGCGGTGTCTCGGCCCCCGTGTGGGCTGCGGAACTGTTCTGGGAATAAAGCTTTCACGACACACGGCACCTTTTTTTTATTTTTTATTGTTGTTATTTGAATGACGTTTGTGATGTTGGGCGTGTGCTTTCACAGCTGGTTAACAATTGCATAACGCGCAAACCGTGCAAAACTCTGCTTTTTTGGTCTTTCTGTTACAGCCCGCCAGGGGAAAGCAGTTTTCTGAAATTCCTCTACACGCAGCCTCCTCTGGGCGGATAACTTCAGCTGAACATGAGGAACGGTGGTGCAATCTTCCTCCAAGCTGTAGTAGACAGCTGTCAAGCTGTTTCTTCTATTCAGTGCACTGCTTGAATAACATGTTTCTGACACCGATGCTAAGCAGCCCTTTCTGATGGCGTGCATCTGTGAAAAGGCACATCTCGCATGGCGTCTTACATACTAAACGTGTCAGTGCCCCAGGACGTGCTCAGCAGGGCTTTGCAGAATTCAAGGCTGTTGCAGCCAACTATTTCTCCTGCATAATCCAGCAGTGTCAGGAGGTGGTGTGGTGCTGTAGTGTTAATGTGTATAAGCAGTACTAGAATCGAAGTTTTCGTAGTGCCTGACTTCAGTCATTGTCATGAATTGTTTTGTGCTATCGAGAGAGAGAATATTCTACATGAAAGATGCCTACATATCAGATTCATCAGTCAAGTGTCAAAGCTTAGAACATAAAACTTATGCATTTCAGCCACTGAAAATAATTAACACTGGATTTTTAGTCTTTCTATGCTTAATCTGCTTAATCTTCTCCACATCTGTGTTTTTTTGGTGGTGGTGGTAGGGATGGGGTTTTTTGGGTGGGTGTTTTGGGGGATTTTTCAGTGCTGGGTTTTTTTGTGCATGGGTTTTGTTTTGTGTTTTTTTTTAGTTAGAAAAAAAGGCATTTGCTTGAGATAGTTAATAGCACATTGAAATACTGATTTTGGTCAGATAGGTTATATTGCAGTACCTGTTGACAGATTGTGCTTAACTGGTGTTAGAAGCAAAGGCTGCAGCTCTGAAAACTAAAGTAAAACTTGCATAAACTTTCCATGTCTTCACAAGAAATTTGGAATGTGTGTGTGTGTTCAAAAAATCTACCCAGGCAAGACAAAACCTGAATCAGAGGATAACTATTAGTTGCATATATAAATTGCTGTTACCACATTTTCTTTTTTTTTTCTTTTTAAAAAGTTTTAAAAATGTAACTTCATACTTGTGAAATTCAGAGACAGTTTTGATAATGCCATTGGCATGTACATGAGATCCTGGTTTCTGTTAGGTGAATTGAGGTTAGATTTTATATCTCAGATTATTTTGCTTCTCTAAGGCAGAATGTTCTAACCTGTGAGAAAAGAAAAAAATCAGAGAAGAAAGGAGATGCAGGAAAAACATTCTGCACGTTTTTGAGGACTTGGTATGGAACTGCTGAGTGTCCTGTATGGTTGAGTTGATTTGAGTATCGTAGTGAAACTCAAAAACATCTGCTTAAAAATATGTTTCTAGAACTATTCTTGAAACATTAAACACTTTTGCACAGTGTTCTTTCTTATACGCTGTTGAAACCATCCTTGAGGTGCAATTCAAGATCTGACATATTTTCAGTGTTAGCATTTTAAATTGGAAGCTCTAGCCGCTCCAATTGTTGCATATAATTTTTAAGGTTATCTTCGAACCTTTTCATCTCCTTCTTTGCAGTAAATATTTAACGGAGATTATATTTCTATGTTTAAAAAGTAGGCAACAGGACTCTTACAGAAAGTCTAGGGAGAAAATCATCTGGACATCTTGGATATTGTAATCGTAATTCTGTATTCCTAGGGATTTAAGTGGCCTCACATTTTCAGCAAAAATAACTCGGCAGTATCAGATGAAACTTGCCATGGCTTAGGGTCTAGCCTAAGTTTGGAGTTCTTCTGCCATATGATAGTGATTATTAAGTAATTCAGCATCTGAATTCTACACTGGTTTGTGTTTGCTTTCTCTCCCACTCTCTTTCTCCCACTCTCAGTCATTCACTGAAAATATTAATGTTGTTATACAGAAAATGTCCAGGAAAACAATGTATTAATTTCCCCTCTAATTTTACAATTAATTTTGGAACTTTTGATGGTGTGTATGTATTTGTTTAGTTAGTTCTTTTTAATTACTGGTAAGTTAAAATGGAAGAAGTGTCAACATGCACAAAATTATATTTAATAACTTTTTTTTTCCCCCTGAATCACCGTTTGCATTCTGTTGTTCTAGTCAGTCCTGCTGGAAAAGTAGTCCACTGGAGTCATGAGCCACTTATCAGATAGCAGCTTCAGGGATTCTGCCTTTGCTCAGCTTTGTACATTAAAAAAAGGTGTTGCTGTGAGGAAGGAACGCTACGGGAAGGTGCTGTTTCACCATTCTGTTGAAAATATTTATAGGTTTTTGTTTCTTCCTTGCAGAGATTCTGAAGGACCTGGATGATTACTATGAAAAATTTAAACGAGAGACAGATGCAGTGCAAAAGAGAAGAATGTTGCACTGCATACAGAGAGCCTTGATTCGGAGTCAGGAACTGGGGGACGAGAAGATCCAAATCGTCAGTCAGATGGTAGAGCTGGTTGAGAACAGAACCAGGCAAGTGGACAGCCACGTGGAACTGTTTGAGACTTGTCAAGAGACTAATGATACCACTGGAAACAGCGGGAAAGCCAGCCAGGACAAGTCAAAGAACGAGACAATCACGCAGGCCGAAAAGCCCAACAATAAGAGATCGAGGCGGCAAAGAAATAATGAGAATCGAGAGAACGCTTCAAATAATCATGATCATGATGACATCACCTCAGGAACTCCAAAGGAGAAGAAAGCAAAAACGTCCAAGAAGAAGAAACGCTCCAAGGCTAAAGCAGAGCGGGAAGCTTCTCCCCCAGACCTTCCCATTGACCCTAATGAGCCAACATACTGCTTGTGCAACCAGGTCTCCTATGGAGAAATGATAGGCTGCGATAACGATGAGTGCCCCATCGAGTGGTTTCACTTTTCCTGCGTGGGACTCAATCATAAACCAAAGGGCAAATGGTACTGCCCCAAATGTAGAGGAGAAAACGAGAAAACTATGGACAAGGCATTGGAGAAGTCTAAAAAAGAAAGGGCCTACAACAGGTAGTTTGTAGACTTTTCGTAGCGAAGAAAATAAAACCACCAAACCAGTGTATTTATTGTCAGCGTCGCCTTTGTTGAGGTGAAAGGATTGTAAAATGTATATTTTTAAAGGAGGTTTAAAACTGAACCATTCCTGTTATAGGGACGGCAATAAGCGATTTTGTTTTTCATTTGGTAAACTGTAACAAGAATGTGGTCTGTGGACCAATGTATTCCAAAAGCAAAGTTATAAAGAGTTTAAACTGAATTATCTTAAAAGATAAAATATTTTTTTTTTTTTTTCAGTGCTGGTAGCACTCTACCCATTAAAATTTTGATGACAACTATCTCTGAAATGTAATTTCGTTTTCTTTAATGAAAAATGTTATTTACCTTTTGAGCAAAAATTGTTAAATAGTTGAGCCATCTGGTTGTATCTGAATAAAGCTGCAATACATTACAACTGTAACTTCTTTCGGTGATAAGCAGTGCAAGAGCAAAAAAAAAAGGAGGGTAAAATTTGGTTCCTGCTACAAAGTGTCAGTATAACAGTTCAATAGCAAATGTTTAAATAGGCTTAGAGGATTATTTTTTAAAAAAAAAAAGAAAAAAGTTAATCATTAAATTTTACACAGCAAATATTTTATATGCTGGCCAAGTACCACAAGGGCCATTTTAAAATGATTGAATATGTTTTATATTTAACCAGGAAGTGGTTTAGTAATGAGACTTAACATAAATGAAGCTTTATACTGTCACAGATAGTAGCGTAGCAATCCTTAATTTGTTTAAGTTGTATAAATGTACATTTTTAAGTGGAGTTGCACTTACTGTATTATACTTGGAAATGCAGCCAAATGCCATTGTGTAACCAATGTGCATTTCCTGCTGTATGTATGAAAATTGTACAGCTGTGATATTAAGAAATAAATGAAACGACTTTGACGGTTTGCTGCTTTAGCAATCATGTTTAATGATCATTCATATAGCTTAAAAAAAATAATTTTTGTCTTTAATCTCAGCAGCTCCAGGAAGCTGCTGATAGCAAGCCTGAAACTGTTGTAGTGGTAACCAAATTACAGGTCTGATAATGAATCTTCATAGACCTTATGACCAGCAGGGTCGTAGGAGAGCCAAAATAGCATTTAACTTTCCATCCCAGTCTACTCATTTTGTGCTTGCAGTCACTGCCAGGCCTGGCCATTTGTCTAAAAATCAATAGTATAGAGCTGGCCTTGTTCAGTTGTTTTCATGCGTTTACACTACAGATATAAATTATTCCATGTTTGTTATCAGCAGAAAGATCTCTTGCGTTACTTTTTCAAAGTGGTATTGCAGCCATTCCAGGGTAGGCATTGTTACTCTTCATGGTCGCCTCATACAGAAATATGTTAGCTATGCCCAAGGTGCTGTGCGTTAGATCAGGTATCTGGCTCCTGTGTCACTCAGCTTCCCAGCAAAGCTTGGGCAGGCCGTTCTTTCACCTGCACGGCTGGAGGGGCCGACGTCCTGGCTGAGCTGATTTCCTGGCCTCAACCCCCACGGGCCTTGGCTGCGAGCGAGAAGAAGATGGGACCAGCAGTAGGAAGGTCGTGGAAGCGAAGGCTGTGAAATCTGGTGGTCAAACAGGAGTCTTGTAAGCATATGGGTGACCTGGGTGGTTGGTTGTTTGGTTTTTTTAATTAATTATAATTGTGTGGTTTGCTTCCTGGATAGTGACACCATACCACTGTAGTGATGCTGCTTTTTCCCCGATGTGTTCCAGCAGGTCCTTCTGCTGGAAGTAGGGGAGACAAGGTTTGGGATCCAGTTGAAGGGGCTCAGTGTTTTCTAAAGATGTACTGAACAGCGACAAGATGCGCCCCATCGCCTTGCGTGGATACTCCCTGCCAGACAAACACGCTCACAGTGACAAGCAGAAGTCCCGTTTTACTTCTCAGTAGGTACCCTGTGTGTGTGTGCACGTGCAGGCGTGTTTCCAGTCGCTACAGACTGTCATGTTACACCGAGCTGCCTTTGCCCTGGGCAAACGGCCGCTCCAAATCTGGGTCTCCTGCTCCTGAGGTGGTGTAGGGTTGGTGTGTAATTTCTCTATTACCCTTCTCTTTTCTCTCTAAAGCCTTCTCGTTTTCCATTCTCCCTATGCACTTACCAGTCTTTCCTGCTCCTGCCTCCCTCCCTCCACTTGCTGTTGTTGTGGCTAATCCCGTTGTTTCTGGTCCTTTCTGCCTCAGCCGTTCTGTTGTCCTCCTGCCAGCCTACACTGAGAACATCCATACTTAGCAGGATTGTACCTGTGAAACCCTGGTGAAACTTTGTATAGGAACTAGTGCAGGCACAGTTTCTGACTGTAGCCTTTTTCATGAAATTTCTGCCTCGGTTCTGCAAGACATTTTGAATGTGAAAAGCCAGAAGAAAACAACAAAGGTGCAAAGGAGTATGGTAAGAAAGTTTGGCTAAAGGTGGATCGGCAGAGCGATGTATGTATCACCCTTAATATATTTCCACCTACTGAAGGCTGGCTGTGGTCTCCCATATTTCAGGGGTTTTTTTGCAAAAGACATCTGTGAAGCAGTTTGGAGTTACATCACTTTCCGCATTTTCCCAAGACTTGTGTTATTTTCCAACTTCCCTTTGTTATGGGCTGCAACGTTGTTCTGCTGCTTGACCCTGAGGGTTGACGGGACGGGCACGGTACCGTTTGGCAGGTCTAGTTTCAGTCGATGGGCACAATTAATTACTTGAGTTGGATGCGAGGGAGTCTGCCATGGCACTAAGCTCGCTGTTGATGGAAGTGAAGCCATCTGACGTTGTGCTAACACGCTGCCAAGCGCTGCGTACCGCGCAAACTTTCTTCTGGCTTCAGTGTCTTGTCTAAACCACTGTCTTAACAAAATGTCTTTACAACTTCTTAGTTATTCAGTGTGAATTTAATGGTCATGAGAAACTGCCATCCTTTGAGCCAATTTTTGTTATTTCTGTGTGATAGATGAGCTAATTTACAAGTTCCCTTATAGTGCCCAGCAGCGTGACAGTGCTGTGATTTGGGGACATCATCTGCAGGTTTGAGAAAACATCTGAATCTCATGGTGATTCATCAGTTTCAACCACTGTATCACCTGAAAGCATCCCAATTAAGCAGAACTACTGTCTCCATTAAGCAGCAGCAACCCTGGCCATGTGTATCATTAGGATTAAATAGGTTTCTTACTAATTAAGCACAGTTGCTGATTAAGTGTGTCCTAATTTCGTAGAGCATGCAGAATAAATACAATTGAATTGGACTGCTCCACCAGTCTCATTTTTTGCCAGGGTATTTTTAGTTAATCTTTTAAATTGTAATAACAATGAAAGAGAGAGACAAAATATTGTAAGCTGTTTCACAGAATATAATACAAAAAAAGTTCTCAGAAGTGCTTCAAAAAATTTGAATATCCTTGGGAGTGCATTCTGTTGCTTTAGTTAGACAACTTACCATCCTCACGGCCTACGTGCTCTGTGTACATTTAAAAAATCCACCCTTGTGCTACCCATAGCTCAAAAGAGCTAATAATTTTTTGCTTTTGAGTATCAAACGGAGTGCGAGCGTTCAATGTAACGTCAAAAAATAATCAAGCTAATAATGCTTCGCGCAGCTTCTTACTTTCCCAGGTATTACTGAAGTGTCAAATGAAACAAGTAGGAGGAATGACGCAGCAATGAAGAGCACTGGAGCAAATGAAGTATCTACAGGAAAAGCTGAGAGACAGTATTAAGGTTTTCTCCTGAGTTCAGGATGCCTAGATTACTTTTCCCAGGAAGCGTTTATTGTTGTCAGTAGTACAAAATAACTAACGCACCTCTGTCCCTCCTCACAGCAGGGGAGCCGTGTTAGTGGCCAGGACAGGAGCGTGGAGGGCCGGTGGCTCTCCCCGGTCGCGGGCTTCCAGTTGTTGATATGTGAAGCCCGATTGGTGGGTTAAATGGGTCCTTGGGTTCACTTTGTAAGCAGCTTTGCCAACGGTGGTGTTACCATCCCTCGCCCCTCTGCAGGACCTCACCGCTCTTGCAGCTCTGCCAGAACATGACAGAAGGTGCTTGATACCAAACTTTTCAAAACTGTCACCAGCGTTTAAATTTCCAGCTCTTACATGAGAAACGTAAGCAAACATTGTGGCTTAACATCCTTGAGAAGGACTCCTGGCTTTGCTGGCCTCTCCAAAATAGCTTGGTAGTTCAGATAACCATTTGTAAAGGCTTTGCGTGCTGTCCATCTAACCTGAGATCATGAATTCTCAGTTGCTGCAATAACGGAGGGCGTGGAAATAACACCAGTCAGATGGATGGACGCTTTGTAGAAGTCAAAATTCCTTTCAGTTGTTGGGGTGAGAATATAACCTCCATCCAAATTTTCGGTAACTAGTGAAGCAGGGAGCAAAAAAACGTGTCTGTAATGGCAGAATTCCCTGCAGTACAGGAGTTCGGGTTTATATGCAAGTCTGCTGTGAGCACCATGCGCCTGTGCATTGAGTCCGTCCCCTCAAAGTGTTTCAAGGCAATTCCTCAGATTGTTGATCAAATGTAGTCCAGTATCGTTCACTTTTAAGCTGCTTTAAGTTGTGACTTTTATTTTCGATAGCTTACTTTAATAAGTCAGGCTTCCTATACGGCTGTCAGCCAAGACTGAGGGCTGGAAGAGACTCCCAGGGAGCCGCAGAAGGTGCGGGCAGTAGGTGACTTCATACTGGTGGTATGTCATTTGTCTACGTGGGCACTGGCTGAGCTGGGCCTGAACTTCTCTTTCTGCTTCATGCTTTGGGGAAAGGATCACGATGCAAAGAAAACGGAGAGATCTCTTGCATTTTGTTTGCTGACAAGTCAGGTAAGGCCCTAAGAGATTAACATATCTAGGGCTGGTAACTCGGCATCGTAACAAAAATAATAATATGTACTTAAAATAAACTCGGATCTTTTAAGCAAATATTGTAAAACTTGGGTAAGACAGATAGAATAACCTTTATACTCTCACTTTGTGGAAGAATTAATGCAATTTAAATGACTGTTGTCCCCTTGATGCCATACATCCTGAACTCCCTCATTACACAATACACTTCACTAGTTCGATTTTTTTTTTTCCCCAAAATAAATCAAACTAGCAGAAACAAGGTTTTTAGTGATAAGGATGAGAAGCCCAAGTGAATTGTGTGTAAGTGATTTACCTGCATACAGAAAGGAATGTTTTGCTATGTTAATTAAAAGATATATATCAGGGGACTTTTCTTTCTGCCAGCCTCCTCTCTCCTTGAGATTTGCATGGTTTCACCTGAAATAAAATGCTCCGTTCTCATAATAGCTTCTTCAGTCTTATAACTCTGGGAACAGACAACTTATCGAGAGCCGTACCAGTAAAAGATGAATTGTTAGATACATGTTCCGCAGAGTGATTTTATTCAACAACTAAAAGATTAAGGGCAAATCTTCAGAAAACTCCCCTGAGTTTGCATGCTTTAGTTTGTAGGTGTCCCCGAAGGACATTGCAAGTAGAAGAAAATGAATGTAACATGTCTTAAACTTTAATCAAGTCTAATCTATGGTCACAGTTACTTAAAAACTTTGATTGGGATCATATCATTTTGGCATCGTGTCACTGCAGAACAGAAATATGATTGTTTGGATGCCCTGATTTTTCATTTCCATGCTTTATCAGAATTTGATTGATTTTATGTTTTGTCTCAGTTTTTTATCTGCTGACCGTATTCTGCTTGGATTGGAGACAGCCTCAAGAAGACAAAATTTTAAATTAAAATTAACGATACTGCTCTCAATCTTTATTATCCACACTCTTTTTTGTTTTTTTTCTCTTTTTTTTCTTCTTTTTTTTTTTTTCCTGGGAATATAGAAGGTGTCATGAGTTCTCCCTTGTGCTGAGCCCTTAGAATCAACACAAAGAAAAGAGAGAGAGTGGA